TCAGCCAGAACACTGAAAATGAGTCATGGATGGGTCTTCCAGCATGACAATGTCCCAAAACATACCGCTAAGTAAACACAGGAGTGGCTCAAGAAGCGCATTAAGGTCATGGAGTGCCCTAGCCAGTCTCCAGACCTTAAACCTATAGAAAATTTATGGAGGGAGCTGAAACTTTGAGTTGCCAAGGGACAGCCAAGAAACCTTAAGGATTTAGAGAAGATCTATAAAGAAGAGTGGAACAAAATCCCTCCTGAGATGTGTGCAAACCTGGGAACCAACTATAAGAAACGTCTCACCTCTGTGCTTGCCAACAAGGGTTTCTCCACCAAGTACTAAATCACTTTTTGCTTGGGGATCAAATATTTATTTTACTCACTGAACAGCAACTCAATTTATAACATTTGTATTGTATGTTTTTTCTGGATTTTTGGTTGATATTCTGTCTCTATCATTTAAAATACACCTATAATAAAAATTATAAACCCTTCATTCCTTTGTAAGTGGGCAAACGTACGTACAAAATCTGCAGGGGATCAAATAATTATTGTAGAAGAGGAGGTGTCCTATATTCCAATCCAAATTAGGAGAGCAACTTAAGGTGACAACACTACTACTCCATACATACAGTAGTGAGTGTTGTCACCCTTAGCCTGAAAATAGGCTGTTGAGCTAAGGTTTTACTTCCTCTATGAACACCCACTTTAAAATAATAGGATGCACAGAGGGGGTGTCATACATGCTGCGACTGTGTTTCCTTGCAACAAAAGTACGTTTATGCCACAGGTTGACTTTTGTGATGCAAGAGTCCCCATACACTTGAATAGTTCACGCTTGCTAGGATACTGCCTGCTGAATGGAACCAATGATATACATTTTGCTGGAAAGCCAGAGCATGTGTGACTCCCCCTCTTGCCACCATATTGGCTTAAGGTAGGCAGTAATGCACATGGTTGTGGCGCTGTAGACATTCAAGGGTTAAAACAGGCGGAGATGAGGCACAATTTCGCATCCCAGTCACCTGTTAAATGCCCTCTGAAAAGTGATCCACCGCACATCCCTTTTCAGAGGTGTGGCAATGACAGCCACATGTGTTAACGAGTCCTATGACAGCATGCATGTTACTGGTGGATCACCAGGTGAAAAAAAAAGAAGCATGAAAAATGTATGCTTAACACCACATCAAAGCATTGGTAAGCTGCAATATATTCATTTTTTTCTTGGGTTTAGAAACAAGAATTCCAGTTGAACACAGTTTTTTTTTCCACCAAAATACATCCAAAAATTCTTGTTCGGCCAATACTGTAATTTACACAACACTGCCATAGTATGTGGTTGATAATTAAAGACCTACTCTGGGCCAGTGCTCCACGTTTCAGGCTCTAGAGCAGCCAGTCTCAACCAGGGATTCATGGACCATTAGAGTTCCTCCAAAGGTGGCTACAAGTTCCTTGAGCTGTGGTTGGTTGACCTTCCATCTGATAGTACCTGGATAGTAATGGGTTCCAACGCAACTTGGCAGAACCAGCAGCATGACACCAATGGTCTTATCTGTCTGTAGGGATGGCATTCTGACCTCCACTGTAAGAGGGGGCATTCTTATTTATGACCACCACTGTAAGGGGGCATTCTTATCTATGACCTCCACTATAAGGGGGGCATTCTTATTTATAACCTCCACTATAAGGGGGCATTCTTATCTATGACCACCACTGTAAGGGGGCATTCTTATCTATGACCTCCACTATAAGGGGGGCATTCTTATTTATAACCTCCACTATAAGGGGGCATTTCTATTTATGACCTCCACTGTAATGGGGACATTCTTACTTATGACCTCCACTGTAAGGGGGAAATCTTATGGATTACCTCCACTGTAAGGAGCCATTCTTATTTATAACCCCCCCCCCCCTATAAGGGGGGCATTCTTATTTATAACCTCCACTATAAGGGGGGCATTCTTATTTATAACCTCCACTATAAGGGGGGCATTCTTATTTATAACCCCCACTATAAGGGGGGCATTCTTATTTATAACCTCCACTATAAGGGGGGGCATTCTTATTTATAACCTCCACTATAAGGGGGGCATTCTTATTTATAACCTCCACTATAAGGGGGGGCATTCTTATTTATAACCTCCACTATAAGGGGGGCATTCTTATTTATAACCTCCACTGTAAGGGGGCCATTTTATTTATAACCTCCACTGTAAGGGGGCCATTTTTATTTATGACCTCTACTGCAAGGGCGACATTCTTATTTATGACCTCCGCTATGGGGGGGCATTCTTATTTATGACCTCCATTGTAAGGTGGAATTCTTATGGATGACCTCCACTGTAAGAGGCATTCTTATTTATGATTTCCGCTGTACGGGGAACATTCTTATTTATGACCTCTGTAAGGGGGGGGGGGCATTCTTATTTATGACCTCCACTATAAGGGGGCATACTTATTTATGATCACCACTGTAAGGGAGGCATTCTTATTTATGACATTCACTATTGGGGGGCATACTTATTTATGACCACCACTGTAAGGGGGCATTCTTATTTATGAACTTCACTATAAGGGGTGCGTTCTTTTTTATGACCTCCACTGTAAGGGGTGCATTCTTATTTACGACCTCCAATATAAGGGGTGCATTCTTATTTTATGAACTTCACTATAAGGGGTGCATTCTTTTTTATGACCTCCATCATAAGGGGGGCATTCTTACTTTTGACCTCCACTCTAAGGGGGCATTTCTTCTTATGACCACCAATGTAGGGGCATTTGCGCCATTGACGCCGGATTAATTAGCTTTGAAAGGGTTCCCCAAGACCTTAAAATAATTCTAGGGGTCCCTCAGGGGTAAAATGGTTGAGAGAGGTTGCCCTAGAGCCTGAAATATGTTAGGGTGACAAAACCATTCAGTGCAGCATGGAACATTACATCGTATAATTATGCTAACAGGTTTTCAAAATCTGCTTTTTTAAGTTTTTGAATGCATACCTAATGGAATAATGAGTGCTTTTTATGCCGCCTGTTCTGCTTTAATCTTGGAGAGAAAAAAAAAAAAAAAAAAGAAAAACAGATTTAATCCATAATTGTAAGTAGGATTTGTACAGAACGGCTGTGCCTCTAATAGGTAATCCCATTAAAAAAAAACCCTTGACGGGAGAAAATATACAATTGGCTTACGGATTCAGCACCAAGGCCAGCGACCAGCCTGAAAACACTCGCAGCAAAGCGCCCTGATGGCCGCTCTGAAGGAGCATGAGGAAGACCACAACCAGCCCTGGTTGTACATCTGGTACGTTCACTCCATAACAGCTGCATATAAATTATGAATGCTAGTTAATCCTTTTGCAGAATGGAGGCACAATGTCACCCTGTGCAATTATTAGCAAAGCCTGGTGCTGCAAGCAGCCACGAGAAAATCAGGGCTGGAGAAAAGGGTTTGGATTTCAGCTGCCAATCAAATCTAAGAGCAAAACGATACATTATAGATACATTGTAAACCAGATACGTCATTTTAAAAAATATTAAAAATAAAGATTCAATAAACAATAGGCTCAAATTAGATTGGATCACTCAAAATCTGGTGCAACGGTGCATGGCAGCCAATCAGCTTCTACCTTCAGCCTGTTCAATTAAGCGTTGGCAATAAAACCTGAAAGCTGATTGGTTTCCATTGCGGAGCTGCACCAGATTTTTCACTCTCCGGCAATACTAAATAACCCCCAAGCTGTCATCATCTGCATTCAACAGCTACCTAACCTTTATCCAGCCCTAATGAAGCAAACACTGCGCCCCCCCCCCCCCGTCCAATCCACTGAAGCCATCGGTCGGCTCATACACACCGATGCAACGTAAAAAGATCATACGCCAAAAAAAGAGATCAAATCACTTTTATGAGTTCTTTTTTTTTTTAAGTATACAATATAAAACAATACGCTTTTTTTTTGTACATTTGAACACCGTTGGCACATCGAACAGTTTCATTGTCAAACATATTGCGGCGTTTGTGTGTTCCAGCTGTATTTGTTACATTCGTACATACTATGAGGTGTCTGATATTTGAAAAAAAATAAAATAAAAGCAAAGTCCATTTTTGGGCCCAGCACCTAATCATTCGTTAGCTTAGCTACCTGCAATATGGGTGGATGGGGTGGGGGCAGGGCAACAGTAAAAACAAGCTGAATCCCCCCAACCCCCACACACAGAGGGTGTTGATAAATGAACCGTAGGGTAAACCGTTAAAAGCTATCGGTCTAAAAATAAAAAGGGCTGACAGCAAGATGCAATTCCTTCTGGAATTATGTATTTAAGACACATCTGCTTTGCAAATCGTAGGGTTCTTGTTGAATTTTCATGACAAAGAATGGATGAAAGAAAGAAAAAAAAATGCAAAATGTAGAGCAATGCCAAAGCAATTCATAGAAGCTTGACGTAACATATGGTGCCCTTACAAGACGTGACAAATCATGATGGCGGCGTAAGAATAAAAAAAAAAAAAAAGGTCACTGATTTTGTTCCTGGGGAAGCCATTAACCGTACAATCACCCTGGTGCCAGATAATGCCCAGAACCTGAAATGATAACTGCACCGAGACCTAGCTTTCCAGCAGCGTCTGCTGCGCCCGTTACCTTGGAGACAGAGGGATCTCTTCAAGACCCATTTTTCATTTTTTTTTTTTTTCTTTTTTTTTTCCTGATCTGCAAAAACTAAAAATAAATAATGAATAAAGTGAAGTGCATCTTTACACTGGTAAAGTAGGTTTCCATTAACCCTTTTGCTACCAGCAGGCAGACTACGCCGACGCGCGCCTTGCCCATGGCGACCCAGTGAAGGTTGCAATGCTCCCCAACCGTCAGTGCATAAGAGCATTGAATGCCAAGTGTCTTGTTTTTCCAGCCTTTGAGAGCTGCAGGCCCCAGTCTTCAAGTTGATCATGGTTGGATATACCTATGTGTGTCCACACCCATCCCTACCCACAGCCCCCTAGCTCTCCAGGCCCTAACGGTCCAAATTTATAGTCCAGTGGCCACTGGGTTCTCTAGACTCGCCTTCGTTCTTCAGATCCTGGAAGACCTGTGTGAAATAGTGAGGGTCGGAGTTGATCTGCAGCATTTTGGCACTCATACGGTCAATGATGCTCAGACAGCGTTGCCAGAAGACCTCCTTGTCGTTCTCCACTAGGAAGGGCTTCAGGGGGTAGGAGATCTCATTGCCCATGTAGGAATAAGCCAAGTACAGGCAGGTGAGGAAGCAGGCTTGGAGCTCATACTCACTAGACAGTTCATCGCCAATGGCCTCTCGGCAGAGCAGGTAGACAAACACCAGGTTGGCAGGCGTGATGAAGCCTTGGTCTTGCCAACCCTGCAGCAGCAAGGAGCGGTCTACATTACGAAACCACATTGTGGGCTCCCCGGGGTTGAGCTCTTTCAGTTTATAACACCGGCGACAAACAAACTCCCCCAGGCATCGAAGGAGTTCACCTGTGGACGCCTGGACGATGACCCGGCGCGGTGAGCAAAGGGACCGGCCACTGGCTGTCTTCTGCACGGCCACCAGTTGCTGCTGATGTTGGATCTTTTGCCCCTCTAGGGAGCTGGGGGGCACCGTGGGCACGGGCACCGGCTTCGGTTCCCTACGGCCAGGGCTCACCTGGGATTTGCGCAGGTTCTCGTGGTTGAGTTGTTCCACCGGGTTGTTGTTGGGAAGCAGCATCCCATTGATAGGTCCTGGGTTTGGGTTGATCTTCTTGGCGTTCTTCTTCTTGGCTGAAGCCGCCACCAGCCTCTTCCAGGTGAGGGCAGAGATCAAGACTGAATGTCTCTTTAGGCTTTTCTCCGGCTTGCTGCCTCCATTCTTGCTGTTGGGGATGGCTAGGTATCCGCCGCCTACCCCAGGAGGCTCAGGCTTCTTATCATCCAGAGGTCCGGCCTTGCCAGGCGCCGGAGACAGGGACAATACCGTACCCATGGTCAGGTTTCCCAGGTGGCACCGCGTTAATGCAAGGTGGAAGAGCCTCACGGGCGGCCTTACTTTGAAGGAAAGCTGAGGATTGACGGCTCTGGATGAAGGAGGAGGATTGAAGGGGGTGGATGAGGCTTGTGAAAGGCTGAAGATGTGTGCAGGGTCAGGGAGGGAGGAGATGGTGATCTGCTCAGGATCTGGTGTGGAGAAGTCCTTCCAGCCCAGGAACACGGTGCAAAGATGGGCGGAATGGGCTCCAGTCTTGGTGGTCTAATGCAGACTCTAGGACCATGCACAGCTCAGATGATCTGATGATAGTCCAGGCTGTGGAAGCTGGAGCACTCTATGCAGAGCTGGATGAGATGCAGGAGAGCACTGACAGCCAGAATCTGTGCATTGCAATCACGGTGGTCTGCTGGAGATATGGGCCCCTGGATGGAGGCTCTGCTGATGCCCAGACTGTGAAGCCTTGAGATGGATGAGGTGCAGGTGGACCCTGAGCCGGGATGATGAGCACCGAGCACACCGATCCTCCGCTCCCCTCTGCACCATCCAACGCACTCAGCCCAGGCTCTCACACTGGGGGCGGGACTAAGACAGGCAACCATCCAATCACAGCCCCGCTCCTCTAAGAGAGGCGGCCGGTTCGGCCAACCAGACTCCAGGGAGGAGGAGGAGGCGGGCGGCAGCGAGGCCCGGGGTGCTGGATGCAGCTTTGCGGTGGGTGTGGGACTGCATCAGCAGCACGGACACGGGGATCGTGTCATCACACCCTGATCCCTTCCCCGTGCAATGTCCTCAGGGCCACATGTGTGGTGGGGGCCCTAATGGACGGTTCAGACAGGGGCCCCACTACTGGACCAGGGGCCCAATCAGAGCTCCGAGATCTGATCTCATATCTATTTATATACAGATTATGGCCAATCTGTCTGTATCTGCATCCTTCATTCATCATCCAATACAGCATCTCCCAGAATTGAGCCCCCCCCCCCGGACTGTATACGATGTGTATATATATATACAGCATCTCCCAGAAGTGAGCCCCCCTCCGGACTGTATACAATGTATATATATATATATACAGGATCTCACAGAAGTGAGCCCCCCCGGACTGTATACAATGTATATATATATATATACAGCATCTCCCAGAATTGAGCCCCCCCGGACTGTATACGAATGTATATATATATATACAGCATCTCCCAGAAGTGAGCCCCCCCGACTGTATACAATGTATATATATATATATATATATATATATATATATATATATATATACACAGCATCTCACAGAAGTGAGCCCCCCCCCTCCGGACTGTATACGATGTGTATATATATATATACAGCATCTCACAGAAGTGAGCCCCCCCCCGGACTGTATACAATGTATATATATATATATGCAGCATCTCCCAGAAGTGAGCCCCCCCCCGGACTGTATACAATGTATATATATATATATATACACACAGCATCTCACAGAAGTGAGCCCCCCCCCCTCCGGACTGTATACAGTGTATATATATATATATATATATACAGCATCTCCCAGAAGTGAGCCCCCCCCCCCCCGGACTGTATACAATGTATATATATATATACAGCATCTCCCAGAAGTGAGCCCCCCCCCTCCGGACTGTATACAATGTATATATATATATATATATATATATATACAGCATCTCTCCAGAAGTGAGCCCCCCCCCCGACTGTATACAATGTATATATATATATATATGCAGCATCTCCCAGAAGTGAGCCCCCCCCTCCGGACTGTATACAATGTATATATATATATATATATACACAGCATCTCACAGAAGTGAGCCCCCCCCCGGACTGTATACAATGTATATATATATATATACAGCATCTCCAGAAGTGAGCCCCCCCCCTCCGGACTGTATACAATGTATATATATATATATATATATATATATATACAGCATCTCCCAGAAGTGAGCCCCCCCCTCCGACTGTATACAATGTATATATATATATATACAGCATCTCCCAGAAGTGAGCCCCCCCCGGATAGTATAGGAACTGTATACAATGTATATATATATATATATATATACACAGCATCTCCCAGAAGTGAGCCCCCCCCGACTGTATATAATGTATATATATATATATATACAGCATCTCCCAGAAGTGAGCCCCCCCCCCCGGACTGTATACAATGTATATATATATATATATATACAGGATCTATAGAAGTGAGCCCCCCCGGACTGTATACAATGTATATATATATATATACAGCATCTCCCAGAATTGAGCCCCCCCCCCTCCGGACTGTATACAGTGTATATATATATATACAGCATCTCCCAGAAGTGAGCCCCCCCCCGACTCCGTATACTGTATATATAATATATATACAGCATCTCCAGAATGATATATACAATGTATATATATATATATATATACAGCATCTCACAGAAGTGAGCCCCCCCCCTCCGGACTGTATACAATGTATATATATATATATATATATATACAGCATCTCCCAGAAGTGAGCCCCCCCCCCCCCGGACTGTATACAATGTATATATATATATATAATACAGCATCTCCCAGAAGTGAGCCCCCCCCCCTCCGACTGTATACAATGTATATATATATATATATATATATATATATACACAGCATCTCCCAGAAGTGAGCCCCCCCCCGGACTGTATACAATGTATATATATATATATACAGCATCTCCCAGAAGTGAGCCCCCCCCCTCCGGACTGTATAAAATGTATATATATATATATACAGCATCTCCCAGAAGTGAGCCCCCCCTCCGGACTGTATACAATGTATATATATATATATACAGTGGGGATCGAAAGTTTGGCACCCCAGCTAAAAATTTGTATTAATGTGCATAAGAAGCCAAGGAAAGATGGAAAAATCTCCAAAAGGCATCAAATTACAGATTAGACATTCTTATAATATGTCAACAAAAGTTAGATTTTATTTCCATCATTTCCACTTTCAAAATAACAGAAAACAAAAAAATGGCGTCTGCAAAAGTTTGGGCACCCTGCAGAATTTATAGCATGCACTGCCCCCATTGCAAAGCTGAGACCTGCCAGTGTCATGGATTGTTCTCAATCATCATCTGGGAAGACCAGGTGATGTCAATCTCAAAGGTTTTAAATGCCCAGACTCATCTGACCTTGCCCCAACAATCAGCACCATGGGTTCTTCTAAGCAGTTGTCTAGAAAACTGAAACTGAAAATAGCTGACGCTCACAAAGCTGGAGAAGGCTATAAGAAGATAGCAAAGCGTTTTCAGATGTCAATATCCTCTGTTCGGAATGTAATTAAGAAATGGCAGTCATCAGGAACAGTGGAAGTTAAAGCAAGATCTGGAAGACCAAGAAAAATATCAGACAGAACAGCTCGCAGGATTGTGAGAAAAACAATTCAAAACCCACGTTTGACTGCACGATCCCTCCAGAAAGATCTGGCAGACACTGGAGTTGTGGTACACTATTCCACTATAAAGAGATACTTGTACAAATATGGTCTTCATGGAAGAGTCATCAGAAGAAAACCTCTTCTACGTCCTCACCACAAAAATCATCGTTTGAACTTTGCAAATGAACATATAGACAAGCCTGATGCATTTTGGAAACAAGTTCTGTGGACCGATGAGGTTAAAATTGAACTTTTTGGCCGGAATGAGCAAAGGTACGTTTGGAGAAGAAGGGGCACAGAATTTAATGAAAAGAACCTCTGTCCAACTGTTAAGCATGGGGTTGGATCAATCATGCTTTGGGGTTGTGTTGCAGCCAGTGGCACAGGGAACATCTCACGAGTAGAAGGAAAAATGGATTCAATAAAATTTCAGCAAATTTTGTATGGTAACTTGATGCCATCTGTGAAAAAGCTGAAGTTAAAGAGAGGATGGCTTCTACAAATGGATATTGATCCTAAACACACCTCGAAATCCACGGGGGATTACATCAAGAGGCGTAAACTGAAGGTTTTGCCATGGCCTTCACAATCTCCTGACCTCAACATAATTGAAAATCTATGGATAGACCTTAAAAGAGCAGTGCGTGACAGACAGCCCAGAAATCTCAAAGAACTGGAAGACTTTTGTAAGGAAGAAGAATGGGCAAAGATACCTCAAACAAGAATTGAAAGACTCTTGGCTGGCTACAAAAAGCATTTTACAAGCTGTGATACTTGCCAAAGGGGGCAGTACAAGATATTAACTCTGCAGGGGGCCCAAACGTTTGCAGACGCCATTTTTTTTGTTTTCTGTTATTTTGAAAGTGTAAATGATGGAAATAAAATCTAACTTTTGTTGACATATTATAAGAATGTCTAATCTGTAATTTGATGCCTTTTGGAGATTTTTCCATCTTTCCTTGGCTTCTTTATGCACATTAATGCAAATTTTTAGCTGGGGTGCCCAAACTTTCGATCCCCACTGTATATATATATATACAGCATCTCCCAGAAGTGAGCCCCCCCTCCGGACTGTATACAATGTATATATATATATATACAGCATCTCCCAGAAGTGAGCCCCCCCTCCGGACTGTATACAATGTATATATATATATATATATATATATACAGCATCTCCCAAAAGTGAGCCCCCCTCCCCCCCCGGACTGTATCAATGTATATATATATATACAGCATCTCCCAGAAGTGAGCCCCCCCCTCCGAACTGTATAAAATGTATATACAAATATACAGCATCTCCCAGAAGTGACCCCCCCTCCCCCGGACTGTATACAATGTATATATATATATACAGCATCTCCCAGAAGTGAGTCCCCCCTCCCCCGACTGTATGCAATGTATAAATATATACAGCATCTCCCAAATGTGAGCCCCCCCCGGACTGTATATAATGTATATATATATATATATGGCATCGCCCAGAAGTGAGTCCCCCCTCCCCCCCGGGCTGTATACAATGTATATATATATATACATATACAGCATCTCCCAGAAGTGAGTCCCCCCTCCCCCTC